TTTTTAATTTACCTCAAAAATTCACCTGGATTTTATGTGGTATAGTGTATTAGGTCAATATTGTAACTTGATTTTTTTCCAAATTGCTTACCGCCACAGCCCTGTGTTTCCCACACTGATGTTAAAAGTGTTCTTTATCATAGAAGGAGATCTGATGTATATTTTGAGTCAGTTTTATTATTTTTAGATTGGGTTTTGATTTCCTTTCTTTTTACCTATTCTGGTACCAGTACCTCATGGGTCGATTCTGGGAACAATATAACACTGTTTAGTGTCTGGTAAGGCAAGTTGGACCTTTATTGTCCTACACCTATATTTTTACTTTGGAAGCTTAACTGAGGGGATATGTGCTGCATTCTTATTTTCTTTTAGCTATCCACACCTGGAAAAAACTTAAACAATAGACCGTGGAATCAATGAAAAGGCTCCATTATTTAACAGGTGGCCACTACCTGAATTGTAGACCCAGTGCCAAGAAGGAAATAATTAGTCTAAAAAAACGGCTCAACTGAATTTTTGAAGTAAATTAAAAATAAAACCATAAAACCATAAAAATACTGGAGAAAGATATAACTAGGATTTTATAAAATCTTGGGTTTACAAAGACTGACAGACCCTTCAAAGTAATGGAAAAGATCACATGTGGAAAATAAATAGCATAAGGAATGAAAAAGAATGAAACCTAACATGTTTGATTGCCATTTTCTGGTAAAGGTATATAAATGTTTTTATGAGAAGTTTGATCAGAAGTTTTTCCATCTCCTTGGTAGACTGAACAAAAGCACAAGGGATTAGCAAAGTCGCAGAGGAGAGACACTCTCAAATCCTTCTGTTTTACCTGGTGTGAATCCCCAAGACAACTGTGGCAGTCACATTTAAACGCAAGCCACAAATTTGTATCCCAGATAAATTTGTTAATCTTTCAACTGCATGCCATTTTGAATTATGAATATCCCTTCTCCTCTCTAGTATTAATACAGATAATCAAATTAAATGTAATCATAATGTTCTGTTCTGTGTGTGCACATAAAATTCAGTTGACCAAGATAAGTAAAATGTTGGAATCAGGTTTTTTTTTAGTGAAATAAAAGTTAAAGTAAAACTCTCACTTTCATTAAACACTGACACAGCACTAATCTCCTTTAAACCTATAAACTAAATGTTGTTACTTTGCCCACATTATATGGACAGATTCTGAGGCACAGAAAGATTAAGTAACTTGGTCAAGAGCTCATAGCTGGGAAGTCATAGACCTCAGAGATAGCCAGTCATGCTAGCCTCCAGTGTTGATTCTATGTTTTTTTTTTTTTTCAAAAGCATTCTCTCTTATTTGTGATTTTGTATTACTTATATGTAATATCACATTTTCTGCTCAAAAAAATCATTACTGGTATATGTGGTGAAACTTAACCCCTCTGTATTTCATGATTTTATATCTATATAGACTGACATCATTGGTTCTGCTACCTACGCAACAATTTCCATAAATGAGCTAGTGTGTATATTTCTGTTATTTTCCAATAAATTGGTGGTGGTATTTTTTTCTGTTTTTGTCTTAAGTGTAGTAAAAAGGCCAAAGAAATGACTTCAGGATTTTATTAACTCTCAATCAAAAATCATCTAGCCCTTTTTAAATCATGGAAGATATTAAATTGATATCCCTAATATTATATTCCCTTATTTAAGAATTAAAATTTAGAAAGTTACATAGAAGCTTGTTTAACTGAACAAGAAGTTCCTACCACATTTGCCTGTAATTTTTCATTGGAATATAAATAGTGGAGTGGTTTTGAGTATGGGATTTCGACCTGAATTTGAATCCCAGCTTAGAAATTTACTAGCTGTGTGATCTTAGGCAAATTATATACGCTTTCTATCCCTGTTTTTGAAAGTGTAAACTGAGGATAATAATAGCACCTTCTTGGTGGGTCAAGCTGTGGATTAAATGAGATACTATTTTTAAAGGTTTTAGCAAGGTGTCTGGAACAATCAGTACTCAATGAATGCTTTTTTAAAATATAATCTCCAATTTTATCTTTGTTATTTTTAAGAACTAACTTCTCTATACTTGACCACTGTCAGTAAATCTATCAAGATGATGACTGGAATTTATAGTATTTCTATAATATTTGATGGCTTTTTATGATCTTTTCTTAATTAACCCATAATAACTCGTAAGGGCTTGTTTACTTCCTGTCATAGTTCTTAACATTCTGAGGTAAAACAAATTTGAGATTTGGTATTTTTTTTTTCAGTAGACAGTAATACCTCATTAATAAAATATTGTCTGTCCTTGAGGCTGCTACTAATAAAGAAAAAAAAGGGAGTGGGGGAGGGAGCGCATTTAAAGAAACATCCCTTGTTTTAACTATAAAAGAGGAGAATCATCACTTTGGAGAGCATAGGATTATAAGCTCAGTGTAATATAAATGTTTTTATTCCATTTCTCCCACCTAGCCAGTTTCTAAGGTAGTGAAAAAATGAAGCAAGAAGGATTACGATTATAGACTAGCATCCCTGGTTAGTGTTCATTTTCTGCAAGACTATAAATAATGCTGCAGAAGACCAACGTGGTTCTTTATAAATAGGTCCTTGTCGGAGTTGCTGGCCCTGGGACGGTGATTATTTTAATTCTAAGCTCTCCATCCAGTCCCTGAAGTCAACTCATATTCTGTCTTTTTCTTCTAGGAGAAGAAAGTCTGTCTCTGTTAACACAGTACTTTCATACAGGGTACCCTAAAGTCAGTTTCTGTCATGTTGGGGAAGTCTGCTTTGTTCACAGATCTGTTTTGAGAGGGACAGGCAGATGGCCACATACTCCGCCGCTTACCAGGCCATTTATAGTGGGAACACCATCTTTCCTAGGTTTTTCTCTTAGACCATGGCCATAGATTAAATGGTATTGGCTGAGCAGTTGTTTAAACCCCAGGGCAGGTGTAAGAATGCACATTACAGATTTATTCTGGAAAGCCTCTTAAATCTTACCACCTGTGTCCTGCTAAGTGCTAAGCATGTTAGATAGGCAAGAAAGCCAAGAAATTGTACACAGTTCCCCTGTTGCTGAAGATATTATGAAAATTACATCTCTCATGTTTAGTCCAGCAATACTCAATATTTACTAAAGACACTTTATGAGATGAGGAATTTGTTTTAAATAAGGGAAACAACAGACATTTTCTAGAATTGACTTTTCAAAACCCCAAACTGAGGGGGCAATATTAACATTCCTTTAGCATATAGAACAAAGGAGATTTTTCCATGTTAGTGGTGAACAGTGAAAGAAAATCTGCTGGTTTTCATCTCTGTTTTCTTTTTCCAAGAGCTGGTGTCTATTTACTTCATTGCCTGGTTTCCCTAGTGTTCTATTTTTCTATCCTTATTTTTGTTTGGTCAAGCATGTTAGAAATTTTTGTTTCTATTTTTCTCCAATTGTGAATTTTTAAATCTCTATTCTAAGTTTTTTTTTTTTTTACCAATTCTGTCCATATTTTTCCTTGTTTCATTCAAGGCACTGTAATTCCCATTCTGAGTCTTTTTTAAACTTTTCTTTCCTTCCATGATTTCTTCCTGCTCACTGTCCTGTGCCACCCTGCTGTTCTGGGCATGAGTTGTGCCAGTGACCTCATTTTCCAGGACTTTGTTTTTGTTGTTGTTACATTCTTTGATCTCTGGGCTCATTCCTGTTTTGTCTACCCATCTGTGTCTTCTCATATGAGTTACTGTGATGTCTACTAGTCCCTTCATATTTTTAAAAAATTCACACTTTTTAAATATGTACTTGTACTTAAAGCATCTGATTTCCTAACTCCTAAAGAAGCTTTGAATATTTTGAAACGAGAACACTAAGTTAGTAGTCAGTGATGGTGAAAGCCCTAAAACTAAATATTCATAAAGTTTTTCCTAAAAATTATATTTTATACTTAAAATTTAGATATAAAAGCATCCAATTGATAGTTTCAAACCTTCTAGAAATCATAAGGAAATACCCAAAGGTTTAAGCAAAGCAGCATTTGCATTTTAAACAACAGCAAAAGTGAACTGAGAATCAAAGAAAAAAAATAGTTGTGACTTTTGAAGTTAATGTCATTATTCTAGATGTGGGCGTTTGGGCAGTAGTTAAGATGCCACTTGGGAGCTACGTGGGATGCCCATATTTCATCTTGGAGTGCCAGGGTTCAAGTCCCAATTCTGCTTCCAAGCCTAGCTTTAAGCTAGTGCACACACTAGGAGGCAGTAGGTCGTAGGTCAGTTATCTGAGTCTCTGCCACCAATGTGAGAGAACTAGATTGATTTTTAGGCTCCAGGCTTCAGCCTGGCCCAGCCCCCAGCTGTTTGGAGCATTTGAGGCATGAACCAGGAGATGGAAGATCTCAACCTTTGTCCCTCTGCCTTACAAATACATTTTTTAAATTAAATAATACTTAAAAAAAAAAGAAATATTGAGTTACAACATGAGTTGAGTTTTTTTTTTTTTTTTTTTTTTTGCTGTTTTTAAGATTTATTTACTTATTTATTTGAAAGGCAGAATTAGAGAGAGAAAGAGAGAATGAATCTTCCATCCACTGGTTCACTCCTCAAATGGCCACAATGGCCTGGGCTAGGCGAGCTGACACCAGGAGCCAGGAGCGTCTTCTGGATCTCCCACGTGCATGCAGGGCCCAACCACTTGGGCCATCCGTCTCTGCATCCCCAGGCTCATTAGTAGAGAGCTGGATTGGAAGTGCAGCAGTCAGGACTTGAACAAGGGCCCACTTGGAGGCCTACCTTGCAGTTGATAGCTTGACCTGCTACACCACAATGCCTGCCTCAAGTTGTTCTTTTTTAAAAACGTCATTATTCCTGAGATACTTAATTTTAATTCATTTAAAATGAATCTTGAATTTTGTGGTTTTGTGTTTTTGTGATTTCTTAAATTTGTATCTTGTTGACATGGTTAACAAATTCCCCAGAAACTATATTGGTCTCTATTATTCATTAGCAGCAAAAGCATCTGTAAGTACCAGTCATATTTAGGCTTCCAAGTTTCTAGCCTAGGAACTGAAACTGTGGCTGCAGCTTGATAACCAACTGTGGTCTTCAGTAGCTTCTCTTGGTTGTTTATCTGTAAATTGAAATAGAGGAAACCAAGTTATTTGCAGGTATAGAAAATTTAAGGCTAGCTAGTAGAAGTTCTGATTCTTCAGCACTGTAGCCAGATATAAAACAAATCCACAAAAACCAGCAGTTGCTCTGAAATAACCATTTAGAAAATAAATTTTTTAAAGGAATCTTATTCACCAAATATAAATTTTCTGGCAACAAACAAGGAATTATCAGAAGCTCTGTTAAGAAAATTTTCACCTATTATAGACATAGATACATAGGTATTCCATTCCTAAAATAATTTTTAAAAATGTTTAAAGATTTATTTATTTTGAAAGTCAGCATTACAGAAAGAAAAGGAGAAACAGAGAGAGATCTTCCATCTGCTGGTTCACTCCCCCAGATGGCTAACAGCCAGTTGGTTGTCAGGCCGAAACCAGAAGCCAGGTATAAGGAGTTTCTTCCAGGTCTCCCACATGGCTGACAGGAACCCAAACACTTGAACCATCTTCCGCTGCTGTCCCAGGCCATTAGCAGGGAGCTAGATCAGAAGTGGAGCAGCTGGGACACAAACTGTTGCCCATGTGGGATACTGGCATCACGGGCTATGGCTTCATCTGCTATACCGCAACATGGGCCCCTAAACTTTATTAAGATAACGTGCCTTTTCCACAAACTTTTTTTTTTTGAGATTTATTTATTTATTTGAAAAGTAAAGTTCTAGAGAGAGAGAGAGAAACAGAGAAAGATCTTTTGTCCCCCAATTCATTCCCCAAATGGTAGGAAGTATTATGCCTGTGTATGTATAGTTGTTATTGATAAGCTATAAAGTTACAGGTAATTATTGATTATTTTTCTTTTTGCCTCATAGATTATCTTACTTTGGAAAAGAAAAAAACACAAAAACAATTAGTGTATATTATGTTATGAGTGTTATATAATAAAATAATATTTCTGTTATCCTTGGCTCTACAAGTAGTTTCAGCCCTTTGAATGACTTAGAGTGTGCTATAGGAAAGACATTCTTAAAAATATGAATTTCAGCCACCAATGTTAGTTGATTTCAAATAAGTTATGTGTGTATTGTAGTGAAAAGAATATGCAGTAAAATAGTGTATTATAAAAATACACTGTTAAGGACTGAACTTTGCACTCCCTTCACCCAAACCTCCTATCTTAAAGCTTCAGCTTCCAGCATGATGGCATTTGGAAATGGGGTCTTTGGAGGTACTCAGATCTAAATGGCACTGTTGGGAGTGGGACCTTAATGACACAAGTCATACTTCACACCCTCTTGACAAGAAGAAGCCAGAGACAGTTCTCTGCCTGCCTCCCTCCCTCTCTCTCTCTCTCTCTCTCTCTCTCTCTCCACCCACACACACTGAGGAAAGGCCATGTAAGGACACAGTGAGAAGGCAGCTGCAGCTCGGGAAGAGAGCCTGTACCACGCACTGATTCTGCTGGCATCTCGATCTGAAATCAGAACTCTGAAAAAGTAAACTCCTGTCATTTACGCCACCCAATCCATGGCATTGCATTGGGGAAGCCTGAGCTAACTGAGACACACAGAGTACAAAATAAGTTGAAAAGAGAAGTATTTGCACTTTTTTTTTGTCCTTTGCAAAATCCTTTTGAATGCACTATGTTTGATCTAACCATGCAAAGTAAAATGGGGAGCACCTGACCGTCGTCCCTGTAAGGAAACAGACAGAGGCCGGGAAGCAGTGTGATTTTCCTCTCCTTAGTGGCTGAATTGCCACTGCACTCCCGGGCCACAGCAGAAAGCTGGCCTGGAAGAGGAGCAACTGGGACAGAACCGGCACCCCAACTGGGACTAGAACCCTGGGTGCCGGCGCCGCAGGCGGAGGATTAGTCTAGTGAGCCACGGTGCCAGCCCCTTACTTTTTAATTCCTTTTCTCCATGAACTTTCTGAAATCCCTTTGTGTGTACTGGTATTATCAAAGAGAAGTGCAGGCAAAACCAGGAAGAGGTTTTGGAGGTGACAGTTACCCAGAGGCATTTATTTATTTAACACATGTTTATTGGAGGCCTTCTTGCCATGCATTTGCTGATCAGTGCTGTTAAAATGACCAATGAAAGAGAACCATCCCCCTCCACGTGGCCTGGTGGGACTGACAGCAGTGGGAAGAAGACTAAACCGAAGAGATAGATGAGATTCCCCAGGAGTCCAGAGAGGGCCTTTACCCTGCTGGAGAAAGAGCTGGACAGGCCAGGAGAAGAATCCAGAGTGATGTGAGAGAGGATGACACCTCTGCTACCGGGAGGTGTGTGCTGCAACAAGGAGACAGGACGGCGAAGGAAAACAACCTGAGTTCCTTGCAGGAGCAATTTGGGGCATCTGGAGCAGAAGATGTCACGGGGGCAGGTGATGTAGGAACTTGGAGGGAAGAGCAAACCCAGATCGATCGTAGAGGCTGCATGAGATGTTTGGGTTTCTTTGTGTAGACAGTGGAAAGCGCCAAAGGAATTAGAACAGGAGCGTTTTCATGGCTAGCTTTGCATTTCTGAAAAATCTGTGTAGCAGAGAAGACCTGGTATTATCCACCACAAGGCAGTCCTTAGTAATTTGGTGCCTGAGAGGAGATTGCCAAACATCGCCTCTTCCAGGGGCAGTGTGGGCCCTTGGTTCTGTCCTTCTTGGGCCTTTGGCTAAATGGAGAATCCCTACCTAGCATCCCCATTTGAGAGAGAATAAGGAAAAATTGGAACTGAGATTCCAGAGAGCAATTATTAAAGAGAATAGGGAATAAAAAATTTATAGTGGAAATTAGTGCTTTTTTTTTAAGTATTTGTCTAAAGGAGAGGTGTTTTTCCTCAAAGATCCTCCCACACTACTCAACACATTTTTGGAATTTCTCTTTTGAAATTGCTTTAAAGACCAGCCTGGGAGCCGAATAAGTAATCATTCTCGTCCCTTTATGGTTGCATCTTATTTTGAATTTTATACTCCAAAATAAGCACTACCAATCTGTGTTTCTATCTTCCTTGCTAGACCTTCCTGTGACTTTTGTCTTACTCTTTGCAAGCTTTCCAAAATGAGCATTTGCTACATTGTCATGCCTGTGTGTCTTCTCCCTAACAGACGGTGCTTAGGAGACAAGCCCAGGTCATACATGGCCTGTGTCACCAGTGTCCAGCATCAGCCCTTCACATAAAAAGCCCTCATATGTTTGTTGAAAGAATAATTGACAACTTCTCTTTGGAATTGCTCATTGTTTTGTCCTCAAACCATATACGTGAAATAGACAATGCACTTAGGATTGTTCAGTTTGACAAATAGACACAGAGGACCATTAAGTTTCTCCTAGTATGTGAAGTAGTTGTCATGAAGAGCCAGGTGTTCACCATCTCTGAGGGGTAGGAACAAATAGCTAATGTTATCAATCAGACAAAGTGTAAAGGTTCTTGAACTTTAGTTCCGTGGTCTTTGGCTGCATTTAAAAATAGCCAAAGAAAAATTGTTTTAATCACTGATGCTGAGACCTCATCCTGAAACTATTAAATCAATACTCTACAGGTGAAAGCCTGGCATTGAGAATTCTCCAAACTACCCAAGATGATTCTAGGGTGCACTCCCCACATCTGTTGTAGGATCTCTAAAATTATGCTTTGGGGAAACATTGCTTTAAAGGAAAAAAAATCCTATCTCTCCAGTTCCACCTTAGATGGGATAGGAGATGAAGGAGAATGCAAGCCATTCTCACCACAGTCTGTTGAGGAATAAGAGTTTCCAATGGCTGATAGCATTGCAGTGGGAAAGCAGCCATCGGTATGCGCAGCGCTCGGAGAGTTCATGGAAAGGTAGACTTGTGCTGAGCATGAGACTTTCTGCAGAGTCTGGTAGATGTCTTGGGGGCTTATCACTGGAATAAAAGACAGTCTCTGCCCATGAAAGGAGGTCAAGTGTTAGTAAATGAGGTAGTTCCAGCCGGTAGGCCTGGCTAATACAAAGGTCCTGAAGGCTTTCTCAGCACAACTCTCCAGGCTGGGCACTGAAAATACGACTGTCTTGAACAACCGACAGTCTGTTCCCAATAAGTACACATGCAGTTACAAAGGGGCCAAAGTGAATGAGAAGTGAATGAGCTTGTTGAGCTGGGAAGCAAGCGGTTGTAAGGGGGGCTGGTTCTAAGGGTCAGACCGAGGTATTGATGTTAAGTTATTCCTGATCACAGGAATGCTATGAAAGAGACATGGGAGATTATTTTAGAACATCTGGAAGAATTTGAAAAAGGAAGAAGTCCAGATGTAGAACAATTAGGACACCTGCAACAATCTAAAATAGCGATCATAAATAAATGTTTCTTTCAGGGGAAAAAAAAGTTCCTAAATTGGGGTGATTTGGAAATGGGAAGAGGTGGTTCATAGAATGACCTATGAACAAGAGAGCTGTTTACATTATGAGAGCATTTGTTTGTTTGAAAGACAAAGAGAGAGAGAGAGGGAGCTCCTGTCCACTAGTTCACTTTCCAGATGCTCCCATGAGCCAGGGCTGGGCAGCCTAACGCCGGGAGCCCAGAACTCAATCCAGGTCTCCCACGTAGGGAACAGGGAACCGAGTACTTGCACCATCACCTGCTGCCACCCAGGGTGTGTATTAGCAGGGAACTGTAATTGCATGTGAAGCTGGGACTTGAACCCAGGCACTCAGGTATAGGATGCAGGCATCCCAAACGATGTCATAATCACTGCATCAACACTCTCTCCGACATAAGTAATTTAAGTGCATTTCAAGCAGAAATGAATTGCGAATATTGGAATTCTATACTGGGCTACTTATTATGTGCCTAAAAATTATTTTTCACATGTTCCATTTGTATTGTTGTCATATCAGTATATTTCACAACTGTGTGAGAACTTTAAACACTGAATGTCAACTCAGTGAGGTCAGTCACAGTCCAGGTCCTTTTCAAAGCAGTTAGTTCGTTTTGATTTATATTTTACACAATCTCATACCACAAAATACTGTCAATCACAACCTCTAATGGAAATAGTAA